TATTAACTTATAATTATAAGTTTATAATTTTATATGATATTATAAATATAGTATTATCAAAATAAAAATAATTAACAAAAATTAAGTATAGAAACATAACTCAATGTAAAAGTTGGAATGCTCCATTTTCTCATAATAGTATAAAAAAAAATCCATCTAATTTGTAAAAGAAGAGGAAATACAAAATTCTTAATATTTTTTCTATATTTGTTTGACTTTTATGACATAATATATCCTCAAATATTATCTAAAAATATAGCAATCAACACTAAGTCAAAGTGCTTTATAATTCACGATACAAAGTTTAAAGTAATACTAATATTAGAGAAAGATACTTTCAAATTGAGAAGATTAGGTATATGAAAAGTGACGTTTTTGCATGAATTGGGCTTATATATATAAATTAACATTATTAAGTTACAAAGTGAACATGGCACCAATTTAATGTCCCGTCCACCAAGTCTCAATATTTATCATTAGCCAATCAACAAAGTCGTTGATGCTCTTATTCCAACGATAGAAAAAAAAAAAACCAAAGCAGCTTTAGCATTACAATAATTTTAATTTCTAGTTAGGTACAACCAGACGGTCTCATGTGGAAAAGAGGACATTATTGGTTATTGTTGTGGAAATGGGTATATGCTTTTATTAGAAAGTTCAAAAAGGAGAGTGATTGTCAGAGGAAATGCATGAACCTTGGAGTACGCTGAGGATGATTGTCGGAGGAAATGCATGAAACCTTGGACATTGGTTATTGTTGTGGAAATGGGTATATGCTTTTATTAGAAAGTTCAAAAAGGAAAGTGATTGTCGGAGGAAATGCATAAACCTTGGACATTGATTATTGTTGTGGAAATGGGTATATGCTTTTATTAGAAAGTTCAAAAAGGAGAGTGATTGTCGGAGGAAATGCATAAACCTTGGAGTACGCTGAGAGTGATTGTCGGAGGAAATGCATAAACCTTGGAGTACGCTGAGAATGATTGTCGGAGGAAATGCATGAACCTTGGACATTGATTATTGTTGTGGAAATGGGTATATGCTTTTATTAGAAAGTTCAAAAAGGAGAGTGATTGTCGGAGGAAATGCATGAACCTTGGACATTGATTATTGTTGTAGAAATGGGTATATGCTTTTATTAGAAAGTTCAAAAAGGAAAGTGATTGTCGGAGGAAATGCACAAACCTTGGAGTACGTTGAGGAAAAATGAATCGAAGA